TGCTGTCAGGCATCAGGCTGTTCCTAAGAAGTTGGAGTGGCCATCTGGGATGATGTGTAAAACTAGGAGCAGGAAAGTTACCCACACCAATAAAAGATCTCCACATCTTCACTTAGAGGCTCGTAGTTCCTACATGACTTAATCCTAAAATAGGGGCTAATATTTACAACGTTTGCATAGGATACTGGGAGATTCCCACAATCCAGTTTCCACAGACAGACGGAACCAGTATCTGTATGGCAAATAAATGTGCGCCCACAGCTACAGTGTATTTGATAATGTCCACTGGTGTCTGCAGTCAGAGACTTTTCTATGCACTACTACTTTGATATTACTACATAGACTTCACAAGCCGTTTTTTATGACTTTGAAGTCTAATAAACATACATGGGAAGGAAGCTCTCTTGAAACTGAATTGTGCACGTCTGTACCACTGAGGTTGTGGCTTGTGAATCTCAGTTGTGCTTCTGTGTTGTGACATTGGGATTTTGACAATGCCTCTAATGTGAGTAACTACACACAACTCACACATTAGTGTGTGGGGCATGGTGTCTAACCTGCAGTGTGCCACAAACCTTTTCCTTGACTTGACTAAAGCAGATGCTAGATATTGACCTAGCAATAAGCTCTATCTAGATGAATTTGTTTGTGGCTACAGTCCACAGTGTATAGAGGATCACTGGGGACTTGTGGATCATGTAATGCAAAATGTGATCATTTGACATTGCTTTGCTGTCTTTTAGAGATATATTGACAAAGCTAACAGAACATATACATGGGGTCCAGTGAATGGAACAGACTACAGGTACTCCTTTCTGAATATTAATATAACATAATTATACAAATCCTTGTATTTTTGGGTTCAACATGCTGATTTTAATACATAGTTTATTTTCATGTATTTGCATATCTTTACATTCTAATCTCTGTTTGTATGCAACCTAGGTCCATATCAATGGCCTTTCCTCAAAACCATACTTTGCTGCCCAAATGATCTAACAGTGTATTGAAAAAAACCTTTTGTGAAATGCTCAAATGTAATATGTGTATCAATGGGTGTTACTCTATGTATACAACAAAGTAAAATGAAAAAAATTGTTATGTTCCATTTAAGACAAAACAACACATTTTATTGATATTTCATTAAAATCACAACCATTGTGTCACAATCAGTTTCTTTTGTTCTAGGTAACAAACAAACATTTGTGAATAGCAATCAATACAACTGTGTTTAAGTCAAAAGGGTACATCCATATTACCTTAAGCTAAGTTCTCTATAGTTCACTAGTCAAATTCCAAAAATAAGTCCTCACAGATGGAGAGGGTGGACCTGATCCTGAGGTCTCTGATGTAACTTCCTCTCTCTTTCTGCTTGCCGTATCATTCAGATGTAACTTTCCAAGGCAGGTTTAAATCTGGCAAGAATCTTCTTTGTACTGTGAGACACCACACTTTTTTCACAGTAAGACACACCAAGAAGACTGTAATTAATGTTTTTGGCAACATGTTTTCTGCATTATAAACAGATAAGCAAAGGAGTTTCTCAGATCACCAGAATACTGTCAGAACTGAGTTACATGGACAGGTGCATTTATGCCTGAATGAAAAACTGATTCCCACAGCAGGAAACTTTTTCAATTTACAGTTTACACAAGCAAACTAGGCAGCTTCCAATGGGCCCCTGGTTTTGGATGTTGCCCAATTTAAATTTATTTGTCTGTCCCTTTCCTAATTAGTCAGTAGTGATGCAGAATTAAGTACTGGCTGCATCACTTCTAGCTGTAAACCTGCTGTCCACTTGCTAGAGAAAGGATAGCAGATGAATGTACTTCAATCAATGACAGGAAGAAGCAAAAGCATACAAGCAATGTGTCTTCTAGTGCTCCTCCAGATTCCCCATATGCAAATGGCCAACCAAAAGGACCATTCTTTGATTGCCTTAAAGGATTACCACAACTGACTGTTATAATACAACAGTCAGTTGTGTGTATTTATAATACAACAGTCAGTTGCACCTGTGTGCTCAAGGGAGGTAATATCTTATCATAGTTGGGTAACTTCCATATATTCTTTCTTACTGGAATGAACTTTGTTAATATTTTAATAGCATTACTATGAGATTCAAAAATATCTGGATACTGCCAAGGTCAATAGAAACTCACACATCATTTTCTTCCTTGTGTTTCTTTGCAGTGTTCTACCACCTGATTCTCACAATGGTGTAAAAGTATTCATTTAAGTCAAATAAAATTGTTTTGCTTTAGGGTTTACCTGATTATACAGTATAACAATATGTTAACATAGGGAACTAGAGAACCAAGAGAATGGCATTTCTTCCTGACATCTCCCACCAAACCTCACCACTGTAATCTCCCTGAAATCTCCTTCTAAGTGATTATTACCACTATTACTCTTTATTGTTCCCTATTAACGGCACCCTGTTGAAACTTGTAGCACTTTGCTCATACTAGTTTGTTATTATCAGAATAGTTTAATCCTGAATTAGCACACTGTGGCATTTAAATTTGGCACAGATATTAGAAGTGGCTAGAAATACACAGTATTTTTATAATGACTACTTTTTCACAAAAAATAGGAGGCATGTATGTGTCATTATTCTTTATGTACCATATACAAGGGTGCCCATAGATTTTAGAAGGCATTAGGACATGCATATACAACCTGACCACCCTCAGGCACTTTTGTCATTTCTACCTACAGTAACATAATTGTTCAGCATGGCTGAATGTTCCTTTCAGCTCAATGTAGAGAGGGAAGGATAGAAGGATAATGACACAGGCCAGTGTTTATTATCACAGAGAGGAAAAGTAGTCATTGGTACACATTTACTAACATTCTTAATCAATAGCTCCTTTCAATACTGTTCATCCAGCAAATCAGGTGACTGTCACATAATATTTGCAGGAAGCAAAAATCACCGTTAAATTAGAAATGTTTTAGGTCAGGTTGGTCCAAGTTAGGGCAGTATAAGTATAAATTATAAACCCCCTTACTTACTACTCTTTAGTATGAGCCTTACTCAAAGATGTTACAATGCCTAGGGCCCCATCTTGTCTTAAGCTTCTTTGATGGCAGAGTTAGTGTGATAAAACCATAAGTTTCTGTGTGCACCACTGCAATCATTTTCATTTAAAGCTTTCATACACATTGTGCTTTGAAAGGCTTCTGGTGACCACTACTATGTGCAGATGTCACCATGATAGTATGGAGATGGATCAGAATTCCCTAGGGTCTAGCAGATTAGACCCCATCTAGCCTTCATGCTTTAGAGTTAATGAATCTAAATTCTATATTTTTTCAAAGATAAGCCATTTCCTGCATTTAATGCTTTCTTATTAATTCTTCTCTGTCAGTAAGCTGAAATAGCTATTTGCTGCATATTTGTTGAGAAACAGAATTTTTGAAAAAAAAGAAGCTGAACACAGCAATACTTAAGAAATATGCAAACCTCAAAATTCTTATTGGAACTCTTGTTAGATCTGTAGTCAGAAATTGAAGTGCATGCTTTAATTGGCATATCTGAGAAACATCAGTAATATATAGATAGATAGATAGATAGATAGATAGATAGATAGATAGATAGATAGATACGATACGATACGATACGATACGATACGATAGATACGATAGATAGATAGATAGATACGATAGATAGATACGATAGATAGATACGATCGATAGATACGATAGATAGATACGATAGATACGATAGATAGATTAAAACCATAAGTTTCTGTGTGCACCACTGCAATCATTTTCATTTAAAGCTTTCATACACATTGTGCTTTGAAAGGCTTCTGGTGACCACTACTATGTGCAGATGTCACCATGATAGTATGGAGATGGATCAGAATTCCCTAGGGTCTAGCAGATTAGACCCCATCTAGCCTTCATGCTTTAGAGTTAATGAATCTAAATTCTATATTTTTTCAAAGATAAGCCATTTCCTGCATTTAATGCTTTCTTATTAATTCTTCTCTGTCAGTAAGCTGAAATAGCTATTTGCTGCATATTTGTTGAGAAACAGAATTTTTGAAAAAAAAGAAGCTGAACACAGCAATACTTAAGAAATATGCAAACCTCAAAATTCTTATTGGAACTCTTGTTAGATCTGTAGTCAGAAATTGAAGTGCATGCTTTAATTGGCATATCTGAGAAACATCAGTAATATATAGATAGATAGATAGATAGATAGATAGATAGATAGATAGATAGATAGATACGATACGATACGATACGATACGATACGATAGATACGATAGATAGATAGATAGATACGATAGATAGATACGATAGATAGATACGATCGATAGATACGATAGATAGATACGATAGATACGATAGATAGATAGATAGATAGATAGATAGATAGATACGATACATAGATAGATAGATAGATAGATAAGATAGATAGATAAGATAGATAAGATAGATACGATAGATACGATAGATAGATAGATACGATAGATGGATAGATAGATACGATAGATGGATAGATAGATACGATAGATAGATACGATAGATAGATACGATAGATAGAATAGATACATTAGATATATTCACATTTGATGCCACAGCTGTCATTTGCCTCTCACATACAATTAAAACATAGTGGTAATGCAAGAATATATTTCTGTTTTGTAATAAGGCTGCTTTAGCTCCTTGATTCAGTTAACTTAAATGTCTCCACCTGTGCACTGAAAGGAAGAGAATTAACAAACCTAGTAACAAGCAAGATGTTTGACTTAGAACAGATGTAGTTTGACATTTTTCAATAGCTTCTGAATCAGGCTCTAATTTGCAAGTTTCCAGAGCTGTATTTCACAGGTCAGACCTTTGTCTTCCAGTTAATTGCTTATGTGAGTTTGAGACATAACTTAATGGTATCATTTAGAGTTTTGGTGCAAAGTAATTCCCTGCTTTGTTTTATATATGGCAGACAGTTTTTGTTATTTCCATATCCTATTTAGCTGATAACTATTTGAATAAATCACTGTTGAAAATAAAAGTGGATAAGATCTTGTGGTTTCTTTGTATGGTACATCAGATTAAAATATGTTTTGTAACTGGGATTATCATACCATTATGCTTTTATTTTGTGTATCTTTTTAACTAGTAGTAAGCTATCATCATTAGGTTATTATATAAATGTATATTAAGATAAAGCTAGTTAAAAAAAGGTAATTCTTTTTGAAAAGTGTTATTCTTGTCATAAATTGTGTCTTTTATGCTAAGTAACCTACAAGTTTTTTTATATTTGCCTTAGAGGAATACAGTGCTAAGTTGTCAATGCCATGGTCCCTAGATCTGCTCCTGCCCACTCTCTGGTGGAACCATTTCTTCTGGTTCATTCTTGATGATGCACAACTAAAGTAAAAACCCATAAGGAAGAATGGGATCTCTTTATTATTCATCAGACACAAGGATCAAATCACCAGAGTCCTTGAGAGATATTTTAAACTTAGCCTACAATCATTCTGTGCCCTGGGACTCTCCTTTTTAATAGATGTGATTAGCAGCTGCCAGACAGCCAATTGCATACATTTATGTTGCCATGGCCCCGACTGCTCGCCCACTGCAAAACACTGCTTTCTTAACAGTGCCTCTTTCCTCTTTCTATCTCCTTGTCAGTCTCATCACCCACTTTTTTCTTGGTCAGAGATTGTAGATTGGAGAGTTCTGTGAACATGACTTTATTGTTCACTTTCTAAGTATATCTGAACCTGGAAGTGTTTATTCATGAGTACCTCCTGGCTCAGTATCATTCCTCAGCTGGCTTGCAGAGCAGAAGGAGATTGAGGACTCTGGGTCTGCACTGCATTTCTTTTTGCAGTGCAGGAAAACACATAGTTGTTGGGTTTCTTTATGTTTGTTTTTTTAGAGTTTAGTTCTGCTTAAAGGCAGCCCATTTATATAAAATGGGCTACTAATGCACAGCAACACATGCTGGACATGCACGTTTATACTCTCTTTTTTTAGCAGGGAGCCACTATGCATGCAATGTATATTATAGTGAGCTGCAGGGCAAATGCATTGCTGCCTACTGTACTTATGCATTGGGGATGCCAAACGAATAGCACCACAAATGTTGTGCATTAACATGCATTGCTGTAACACATGGTAAAAGTTCATAGTGTGACGCTAGCCTTGGAGGGGAGGGATGTAATAAAACACCAAATAGAAGAAATAGTAAGGGTTTTGATCGTATGTAGCTTGCTTATAATTTGCTATATCCACTACTTGAACTGTTTTGCAAAAGGGATCAATTTTACATATAAAAATATTTATTTACTATTTAATTTTATTCTTATAGCTACCAAAAGTATGTATTTTTAACAAAATTATTGTTTTAATTAACATTTGCACAATTGTCATGGGCTGTGCAAAAGCAACAGCATCATCCTTAATTCTACACATACTGGGCTTTCAGAAATATATTGCAAACTTTTAATTTATAAAATTGTATTTTACAAACTTAAGGCACTAATACATACCTCCCAACTGTCTCTCATTTGGAGGGACTGTCCCTCATTTGCAACCAAATCCATCTGTCCCTCTTTCCTCCTCAGTGGTCCCTCCTTTGGTCTGGAGTACACATATCTGTGAAAAGGTTCTATTTAACTACCAAAAATGTTATTCTGCATTAAAACATTTATCTTACCTCTTAATTATCTTGTTTAATTTTTCTAAAATCCAGCATAAAAGAAAAGTAATGGTAAAAAAAAAACAATTCTGGGTTTTAGTAATACTTTTTGGCATACAAATTCTAAATGATCCGCATACCAGGGGACAGGGATGTGTCCATAGCATTAATAAATTGTGCTGGAAGGTTCCCCCCTTTCTTATCTCAGAAGGTTTTGAGGTATGGTAATATAAAAGAGTGAAATTGCAAACATAAAAATTAACTGGCCATCTGAGGTGCAAAATGGAGGCAGAGCCCTGCAGTGTTCAGGTACATTTGGGTCAAATGTGATAATCAAAGCTTGATATGCATACAGGGAGCTCAGTCTGCCTTTTGTGTTGTACTGAAAGTTTTTTTATCCAGGCATTGCTGTATGGCTCAGGTTGATCCCACTCACTTTGTTTGTGATCTGTTGGTGATCTGAGTGCCCCTTTCTGTAATCCAGGAGAAAAAGTCCCAGAGACACACACTGCACGTTCCTTGCTGTCTCTTACATTCAGAAAGCCTGTCAAATAAAAGTTATTTCCAAGAAGTGCCTTATAGCCACCAATAAGACTGAAATATCCCCAATAACTGGTGATACAGGAAGCAGAGTAAGAGAATGGTATACAACACAGAGAACGTTGTTTAAGGTAATTTGATTAACATTGCTGTCTCACTGATTGTGAGCTAGGAATTGCTTTTTAATTTTCAAACATCTACCAAAAACATGGCAAATCAGTTATGACTGATCCTTTCACTACCTGTACATTCCTACACTTCAAATGTTATGTATCTTTAACCACTCCATGATTAAAAATAATTTTGCATTCCTGTAAGGATGCAATTTTCAGGTTATACTTTCATAATCTGAATTACAGTAAACATCACAGTGTTAGACAAAAAATATATTTTGCTCAGAAAAACTTGCTTTGCCAAGGGGACACCTAGATTTGAACATGACCATAAATATTTGGAAAAGGCTAGAATAATAACAAAATATATCATAACAAAATAGTGCCAAAGGCTGCTCATTACTCTGTCCAAACTACTTGAAACTAAATATATATAGAGAATATACATATAAAATATGTGCTGCAAGCTGAATACAAAGGTTTTCATTGACTTAGGGGTCTATTCACTAAGCTGCCGTAGGCAGCCGAGTGAATTACCTACCTGAAGCGAAGTGAGCCGAACGCTGTTCGGCTATTCACTTCAGGCTGGTACGGCTGATTTCAGCCGTATATCAGCTTAAATCAGATGTACATCGGGTGGCTTTGTGTCGGCCAAACATGCTCAGCATGTTTGGCCGACCCGAAGTGCAGAAGGAGTTCGACTCAGCCGATCCAACATCTGGATCGGCTAAACCGAACCTCCGGCAGGCTACTCGCTGCTGTTCGGTCTATTCTTATAAATGTCGAACAGCAGTGAGTGAATAGCCGAATGCTGCTGAACGACATTCGGCTCGGCTGTTCTACTCTGTGGGACCGAGCAGAACAGAATCATAATTTAAAAAGTAGAAAAAATAAATAGTGACAGCTAGCTCCGCCCAACTGTTTTCTATTGGCCGGATGTTCTGCCGTCAAAAAAAAGAAAACAAAACATTTTCACTATAGGAATGCACTGCTCGCTTCCTATTGGCTATTTTAATTTGCAATAGCCAAAAGCAAACTAGCTATTGTACCCGCCCTCTGCTCCTGTCAATCACTAGTGGGGACCTGATGGAGAACTGCAGCAGTGGGCGGGTACAATAGCTAGTTTGCTATTGGCTATTGCAAATTGAAATAGCCAATAGGAATCTAGAAAGGCATTCCTATGGTGATTTTTTTTTTTATTCGGACACGGCTCTGTTTTTCTCTCATGGGCGGCCGGGAGGCTCCCGGAGCGCCCTGGAGAGTTAGGCTGTCTGGAGATCAGTGTCCCTGGTTAGCTGGTAACCAGGGACGCTGACCTCTCTGCAAGTGGTCGGGGCCAGTTGTAAGATCACGGCTGGCTCCGCCCAGCTGTCAGAAGCAGGCTGTCGGCCGGCCAATGGTCGGCCGCTCGGCCAGCTTTGGCTTTTACCTCGGCTCAGTCGAACTGAAGCATATGCCTTTAGCTCGACTGAGCCGCCGGCCAACTTCGGGAGCTGTACGGACTATAGTGAATAGCCATTACAGCAGCCCTTCAGTTCTACTGAACCGAAGGGGTCCTGGGGCTGAAGCTAGCCGAAGGATCGGCCGAAGCTACGGCTAGGTCCTTTGGCTGCTTCGTGAATAGAACCCTTAGTGATACACTGTATATTGTATACTGTATTTAGTACAGTTACTGTAACTATTTAACTAAGAAAAATGCTAAGTGTAGGGGTCTATTTATAAACTGTGAATGTTCACTCTCTGTGAGTAATGACAAAAACAAATTCTTCATGTATTTTATTTTCAAGTCGAATGTATTGTGATATAATAGTGCAATATGGCCACTAAATATATCTAAGGAGCATAGGAAATACATAATTTTACATGTGCTCCCCAGCTCCATCTAGTGGATGCAAGGGTGAAGGGCCCTGGGGATTGTTTATAAATAGACCCTCTAGTGTGTCTACGTAAACATGGAAAGAAATTGTAGAGTTTGCTTTGCTCCTTAGATGTTCTTCACCATCTTGTCTTGAATTGTATTGTGACTGTAATGTCATCCTTATATTGTAAAGCGCTGTGCTGGCGCTATATACATCCTGTATAATAATAATAATTTTCACTTACACTGATTTTATTTACTAATGGACAGAAAAGTATATGGCACATTTAGCTGCTTAGACTTTTTTGAAGAAGACACATGTAAGGTTTTGTTTTTTTGAGCTTTTATAAAAGAAATCATGCAATTGAACCTTGTAAAACAAGCTGTTAAATATGTTAATATTCATAATTGCTACAAATATGGAGAACAGACTCACTTTAAATCAAAATTGCCTAACTTTTGTGTTTTTTCCATAGTCTTGCCTTAGTGTTGCCATCCTACAGCTTTTATTACATTAAAGCTAAACTGGAAGACACAATGACTCAAGCAAAATGTGAGTAGTAGAGCAACCTACCTCCAAAAATTAGACATTATTGTAAGCAACTAATTATTTTTTTTGTGTTTTTTTTTGTTTAGTATTCTTGATGTTTTTCGCAAACATCCTTAAAGCACAATGATTCTAATGTGGGGATTCTCAACCATCAAATCACATTTACAATACTGGTGTACTGTATTAAAGATGAGCAGGGCTATTCACAAAAGGGTAAAGTGTTTGGAGAAGGCAGGGGAAGTGAAGAATCTAGGACAACATAGCTGAATTGGTAAGTGAGCTGAAGAATTTTTCCAAATCAGCTATTTTGGCCTAGATGTATTACTTCTTCTGCCTTCTCCAAAGTTTTCACCCTTTTGTAAATAGCCCTGAAGGTATTAGTATAGCTGGGGTGGGGGAAAATTTCAATAGTTCACTGACCAAAGCCTATTAACTAAAATTAACCCACTAACTACACCAAGGTCTATTGATTTCTTATATACAGTAAAGACCTTAATATAAATGCATGAACTTAATGCATGTATTTGAATTAGGCCAACGTGTTTGTTGCACTGCTAAACAGTGGCATTATACAGAGATGTCTGAGAATGCATTTTCCTGGGTTGTGTAGTAGACTTTCAGATTTTCAGATACATATTTTATAACGGACTATGGGGTATATTTACATTTCATTCATCATATATTATCTTAAGACAGTCTTATTGATAAATGTGATCAAAGTAATCAAAGTATTTTTGAGAAAGGTTGAGTGTTGCTGAGTTTGTATTCTCTTTTAAGAATATGAACAGTTATTCCTACCAAACAACCAGATTCATTAGAATCATTGTTTACTCATTATTGTTAATATGCAAAAGATCTGTTTGCAAGTATACTGTATGTGTATGGCTTACAAGTAATTAAAAAGGTGTCAAGGTCTACAAAGAAGTGTTGATAAGTGCGTTTGTGTTTGTTGACTAGTCGTAACAAACACTTTCTCTGGCTGTTCACATGTGCATTTAATAATCTAGCATTTACAGTTTATCACATTTCCCTTATTAATGTAATATAATTATTTATAAAAAATAATTATGTGAGAAACAACCCCTGGCAGCAAACTGGTTTTATTGTAAGTAAATCAGCCCTCATTTTCTTAGATAATAGTACCAGGCATTATTATCGTCCATTACTGATTTTAGCAAATGTTGTTCTATGAAAATATAGAACCCATAAAATCCGTTGTAGAAACTAATGAATGATTTTATGCATTACATTCATATTTAATAAATGGGGCAGGTACAGCTGATATCAGATATTTGGAAGGTAGGATCCAAAGGAAGGCTGCAAATGTTGAGGGTAAATAGAGTATAAAGTATGGTTAGAAATCATTCTGCAACAGCAGCATATTTCACTCACAGCAAAATGTATCTGTACATGTATAAAAAATTAAGTGTTTCCAACTGCTATAAAGAATGTTTAAGTTTCTATTTTTTCATCACGTCCTCTTTTTTTCTCCTGGTTTGGTATGTGCTACTCATTGTCATGATTCAAATTAGTTCATGTGTGCAAAATTGTTCTATCCCTGTTTCTTACCTTTCTAAAACTCACTGACATGTTGTCCTCACTTCCTTAAGAAGTAATGCGCAGTGGAGTCCTACCTTATGGATAAGGAAGTGAAGTTTCTGATGTCACTTTCTTTGCATTGAGAAAAAAAAACATTCTGGCGGGACTGTCAAGTTGTGTAACTTCCTGTCCAGCCAGTCCTGTCCTCTTGCCTACAGGTGCCTAAGTGATATCCTTGTAATGTCCTGCCCTAGAGAATAATACATTTAGGATGAATGTGGAGTTGTGTGACTGCATGTCAACAGGAGAATCAAACACTGCATCTAAAATATTCACTCATTTCTCTTTTTGCACTGCATGTTGTGCTTTGTTAAGTGCTGTGAATGGGTAGACAGACTGTGACTGTGTATCTTTTCCCTCCTCTTCATTGTCTGTCCATGTTTGTGCACTATGCTTGGCATGGCTCACACTTGTATCATGTACTGGCTCTGTACTGCTTCTCATGGCTTCTCCCATCCCCTCATATGTGTCCTGTGTTCGAAGCTTTGCACTCTCCATTACCTTTCATGCATGATGATGGAGTTTCTGCAATTGTTTATCATTTCCCCTTTGTCACATGTTACTGTATCTTGGGCAACGCAGGGCTGCTCCCTTCATTGGATTAAACATTTCATGTATAAGTAAATATTGATGTCAACCATAATAATAGTCAACCTTGCCACTCACTAGCAAGGCTCTTATTATTGTTTGTCATTCTCAGTAGTTATGTGATTTACTCTCCCAGACCTGTAGGTTACTTTTTTTAGTGTGTCCATGGTATATACTGCCTCTGTCTCATCTTCACTGTACAGTTACTTAATTTTAGATCAATTCAACCTACTGTATGACCATTTCTAGTCATCTGTTGTGCTGAGTGTTCTAACTTGTCTTTAAGACATCACACATAAATTTACACTCAACATCACTGTTGCATCACTGCACAAAATAATTTATAAAACCGGCTGCTGTCCTACCACCGTTTTATGTGGAATTAATTTCTCAACAATGGCATCTGCTTATAAAGTTTTCCCTTTGTCAATATCTTTTGATATGTACAATTAATACAGCACATGTATTAAAAAAGGCATCTGCATCTGGCCAAAGATAAAAACAGATTACATACATTCAAATACCAATTACATACTTTCAACACTGGAGCTAACAATCCACAAACATTTAAGCATCTCTCTACTATTGTGTTTGTTGCCTCAGTTATGATTTGCCACGTGTGTACTTTTCATGTTTACTTTAACCACCATTCAGATTTGCCCTGTCAAGGAATTGCACACATTTCCTAATAATTATTATTTTTCTCTGTATAGGCTTTTTAATTGATTTTCCATAGGTTGCTTATCTCCTGCACCTGAGCACGAGCCTATTTGACTAGTGCTGTTTCAGGAGAATTGATTTGCGATAATGGGTTACTTGTATAGCACATGCGGCAATTACTAAAAGATTGCACAACAGATCTTTCTACAAGAAGATTTTAAATAAAATCTTGCATATGATCCGATTGTGATGAGTGTTTGTCTCTTTTTTTCCAGACTTCAGCAGTAATTCTATTAACCTTTTTATCTAGTCACAATATCTTTATTCAATAACTTGAATAAAATATTGTTTGTGACCCCTTTTACCTTTACCCTGTTTTTCCTGTTCTCTTGCTTTCTCTATCTGATGGATTTTCACAGCCAAAAAAAGCAGAATAAAGGGCAAGTACATCCTTTATGCCTATTTTGTTAGTTTTTACTTTCCTTTTATATATTTCCTTTCTGTTTTAATTCTTTTATTACATGTGTCTACAGTGAATGGTTCAGTTGCCTTTTTTCTCTTTTACAATTGTTTATAAGCTTAAGACTACATTGCTACAACAGACATGATTAATAGCGTATCCCAGAAAATCTAGGGACTCCGTTTGATCATAAATATACCGGCATAATTCATGGATTTAAAATGGGCTTTCAGGTGCGGTCCAGTGCATTCCAGTGCATTTGTATGTGTTTTTGATGCATTCTAGACCAGAGGCATGCAGTATTTTTTTGGTCTGGACTGGAATGGACTGGGCTGGTGTAAGGCCAGAAATGGCATAGGGATACATTAGGATGCATTTTGGGCCTGGAAACATCTGATCTGGTCTATAGAGGATCTGGATGTGGTGTAAACGGGTCCTGAATCCGTATAATTAAGCCTAACTTTCTATGGTAGGAGAGAGGGGGGATTCCCTCTTCTAAATCATTTTGTGGTCTGTTTATTCTGATCTCTGGTGCTATTCAGGTCTACTTCACAAAAAAAACTGTTATTTGAACTTCATTAAGCTGGTGCCCTTGCCTTGATCTTGGCAGCTGCTAGCAACTGCAAGTTGTAAATATGAAATTGCCATATCAATATTTACCTGACTTAACAAGAAGTAAATCATGTTAGCCCTGAGCATAATATACATTTCCTTTATGGCTAACAAGGAATGTATATAATGAAACCATGCCCCCCTTTAAGGTAGGTTGATATACATTCATTCTTTCCTGGAGTTCCTCATTAAATTACTTTTTAACATATGTTCCATGTATGTTCTAATTACTCAAGTGTGACTAACATAATGAATGGATCTAACAGAGGGAACGTAGCACTGATGGTACCTGCGGTTTCAGATTTTTATAAAACTGAGTGTTGTCTTTACTATCTGACTTAAGCTATTTATTTTTTCCAGACTCTGAAACTTTGAAACCCGAGCAGTTTGACGAAGCTGGCGCAACTTATCTTGCACCAAGGTTTCTCACTTTCCTGTATTTTCTTTCTAAACTATAGCTTCTAATAGCTTCCAATATACAGATTTGACAACTTTAAGTAATTATTTATTAGCATTTTAAATTTGATATGATTGTGATACAACATCTAGTTTAGTTCAGGTTTTCAAGCATGTATATGATCTGTTCAAGATATGACCTAATACATACTTGCAGAATTATTGTCAACATGCAGAACATTTCTGCAATTAATGCTGCAGACTACCATTGCTTGTGAACCTATGTTATATGACTTTTTTAGTGGAGCTACACACATATGTTAATTCTCATAGTATGTAAACCAAAGAACAAGAATTTAAATGTATCCATTCACAGCCCTTAGATGCAGTGGCTGCATTTGTTTGCTTTTTAGGCTTTTTCCCATATTTTAAACTGGTGATCCTGCCAGTAACACACTCCCTGTCCTAGGGTTACAACACTCACTCACTGTATTGTCAAGATAAATTAAGCTACTGCTAGAACTATGTGAAAATAAACATATTACCTTTTTAATTAATATGTATGAAGTTCAGGTTTGTTGCCGAGTTGAGTTAGTGGCAAAGTTTGCATGTTTGCTTTTTGCCCAAACAGCAAATTTATGGACAAGTTCGCTCATGCACCACAAGCGAACCCAACCTCCTGCACGAAAGAGAAACATTTAGCAGCATTATTATAACCACTGCTAAATGTGACAGCCTCCTCTCAGGCTGCTAGCATCCTAAAATCAGTGAATCATAACCACCCTGGATGACAGCTAAAAACATCAAGTTAAAAATTAAAGAATTATGCGGGGTCCCTTCCAAAATTCATACCAGACCCTTATCCGAGCTGCAGCCTGGAAGGTGGTGTATACCAGGCCACACACCCTCAACGTGGGGGGGGGGGTCCGTACCAGGGTGGACCACCCTCATACATGATGTTAGATGAGGGTGGTAAAGGGAATCCCCAATTACTTAGGGGTCTATTCACTATGCTGCCGAGGGCAGCCGAGTGAATGACCAATCAGAAGTGAAGTGAGCCGAACACTGTTCGGCTATTCACTTCAGGCTGGTGTGGCTGATTTCAGCCGTACATCGGCTCAAAACGCCGTACATCAGCCTGCTTCGTGTGGCTTCGGGTCGGCTGAACATGCTCAGTATTCGGGAGCTGTACGGGCTATTGTGAATAGCCCGTATAGCACCCCCTCGGTTCTACTGAACCGAAGGGGTCCTGGGGCCGAAGCTAGCCGAAGGATCGGCCGAAGCTACGGCCAGATCCCTCGGCAGCTTCGTGAATAGACCCCTTAGTTTTCAAACAAAAGGAAGCAGTGTGGAGCTATCATTTGCCAGCAATTTATGCAGTTTTGCTGCAGCAGGTTGTATACATCACACAGATGTGCCACTTCGCATGCAGGTTCAGAGCATCTCCCAGGCATGCTATTTAAAGGAATTGTGCATTTTTTATGTTGCCCTTTAAGTATTATTGAAACCACTCCCAGCCAAACTGAATTTTAATAAATTCAAATAATTTTTTTGTTTTGGCACATATCCTACTTGGCACTGGGCACTGTGCACCACACACTCTCCCCCACCTCCCTTCCATCCACTTTGTTCATCCCTTGCCTATTAGCATAGAAAATGAACAGAATTGATTTTCAATTGTTACATTGGCATTTTGAGTTGAAACCTTCCTTTAATCCTACTCAAGACTTTATCTATTTTATCACTAATTTTTGTAAGTGAGATTCTCCAGAACTGGACATAATTCTAAATGTGGTTTAAATAAAGATATATATATAGTGAAATCAGGACTTCTTTCTGCTGATGATCTTTCTAATGATGCACTCAAAGGTTTCTGATTACTTTTCACTGCCTAGCTACACATTTCTCATTTTGCACCCCTGAATCTTTTTGATATATAGCTCCGCCCAACACTGTACCTCCAAACATGTACTGTATGAATGAAATATGTTTCCCAAAGTTTGTTATTTTGCTTGTAGAAACATTGATCTGCTGCTTCCATTGCTTTGCTTCTAGCAATGCAAAATTATGTTTCAGCCATGGGTTAAGTCATAGCTTGTACAACTTTTTTATGAGCTTATTATGTGGAACTGTGTCAAATGCTTTGCTGAAATCAATATAAGCTATGTCCACAGCACCAACCTGGTTCAAAATATTAGTGCCATAGTCAAAAAACAGTCTGTCATGTTTTCCCCTTAGTGAATGCCATGCTGCTTTGGGTTCAGCAAAATCTGTGTTTTTAATTGATTACTGATTAAATGTCAGGAAGTGATTTTTAGAAATATTAATCTTAATTTTTTTCTTTCAACAGGGAATACTGTACTGATCTGCCTATTTCTAGTAATAACACAGAATTCCTTGTAAATTTTAATAATTACATAGACACAAAAACACCTTCATACAAAGAATGTAAGTAGAAATTTTGCAATTTGTAACTATTTCATAAAACTTAAATTTTCTGTTCTTTCCCCACCCCCTCCCCCCCCTCAAATAAATGCTCACTCCTGTAAAATGGTGTTTGTTATTTTTTGTTTTTTCCCCCCCCCCCCCACCCCTGAGCTTTCTGCTGCTTTGTCTCCTGCACTCTAGTGTATACCCTTATAAGTGCCAGCACTCCTTTATACAATCAGGTGTGCACATAAGATCGTACCCATTGGAAGACCACATACAGTACAGTGCAAAGGTTTTAAGTGTGTAAAAAAATGCTGTCAAGTAAGAAATAAAAGTGTTAATAATGTATTTTTTTATCAATTAACAAAATGGAAAGTAAATGAATAGAAGACCACCCTTTGGTTTCAAAACAGCATTAAATCTTCTAGGTACACTTGCACGCAGTTTTTGAAGGTGTAAGAACTTAAAACCAGTATTTTTTTTATAAAAACAGGTAGGGATACTAATACTCATAAATTAACTGATTACCTGAGTTCTTTGTATGAGCTAATTTGAAGAAGAAATAAAAACAATATTGTGCAAAAACATATATATTAAATATAAAATCAGTGCAAAATATTTATCAAAAATATTATTTATGACAATAAATAATAAGATTTAAAATATGCAATACAATTGATCAGCAAGTATAAAAATTAGAAATTAAAACCACAGGATATTGTTCTAGATATTAGTAAAACAGGACAATGTATCTAGGAAAAGCAGCTAGTGAAACTCTCAGTATGAGATGATGACAAAAGAATGGGCAGATTTAACACGTGGCATCTCCCAGCAAAAAAATTTTTAGAGCTCATAATATACATTAATATCCTTAATATACATTAACCAGTATGTAATACTTCTCTTATGCACAGGATCCGCAAATTAGTCTAAAATCTTTCTAAAGTAAAAGACAAAGCCCAACCAAGCTATTTTTTATACATACATTTATAAAGTATATACATATATGCAGGGCTTGAAAAATTTGATAGTGTCTCACCAGTCAGTCAAAAATTTCACCAGTCAGCATGAACAAAAAACGCCCATAGGCGACGATTAAAACGCTTTTACTGTTCATCAGTTTAGTGTTATCAGTTATTAAAGGAGAACTATGGGGTTAGGGCTTTTCCCCAGGGTAACGGCAGGACACAAACTAGCATCCTCCCATCATCCTAGGCTCAGTATACCGCGAGCTGCAGCTCATTATATACTGAGACGCCTCAGCTGAAGCGGATCCCGACAATTATGTCTGGATCCGCCCAGCTGCGTGAGTGACAGTTGGCTCTGCCTATCTAGAGGCAGAGCCAGCTGTACCTGCCCCCTCCCCCATCCGTTCCGCCAGTCAGCGCTGGAGGATCAGAGCGGGGAGGGGGGAATCCAGCCCCTCCCCTGTCACGGCTCTGTGCCGTGACAGGATCGAGAAGTGAGCGAACGCCGGTATGTGTTCGCTCACTTCCCGATCTACTGAGCCGACCTGTGACAGTCTCATTGTCACAGGTCGGCTAGAACTATGAGGTGAGTGAAAAGCACTCACCTCATAGTTCTCCTTTAGGCTGGGTTCCCACCTAGGCGTTCAAAATATGCGTGTATGACGCGCGTTTTGCTGTGCATGTTTTAACCGCGATTTGCAGCCCACAAAACGCGCGTCAAACGCACGTTTACGAGGGCTATCCGGCTGTATCCTAATGGATACGCGCGGAAATACGCCCCAAATAAGCTCCTGTACTTCTTTGGGCATAGGGCGTTTTTCAGCACGTTCCGACACGCTGAAATATGCCCAAGTGAGAACATTGCCCATAAGAAATAATAGGACTTCACTTGCAGGGCGTTTTACAGCGCGCCGATCAGCGCTGTAAAATGCCCAGGTGTGAACCCGGCCTTAATGGCTCTTAAATTATTGCTCTCACTCTGTTTGCGGCGATATGCAACATGTGCGGCACGTAGGCGCACCTGACGCATATATGCGTGTGTATGTGGGGGGCACGGATTAAAAAAAATGTTTAAAAAAATAAATGTTCATTTTTGTATTACATTTTTTTAATACTTTTTTTTTACACACACACAACTTTATTGCTGTATTACATGGGGGGCTAAGAAGACATCAGGGGTCTCGAGGACCCCTAATGTCACCTAGGGACCTCCAGAAAAGCTGACGAAGCAGAGATCGGCTTCATCAGCTTCTCTAGCTGGAGAGTGACACTGAATGCAGGAAGTGATGCAATATACATCACTTCCTGCATTCGGGGACTGAGAGGAGATCAAAGGGAGTTTGTGTACTGAACTCCCTTTGATCTCCTGTCACAGAGCCGTCGCCGGTCCCGGCCGCATCGGGCACAGCGGATCTCGGGACCGGCAACGGCAGTGACAGCTGCTGATACAGCTGCTGATACAAACGATCGAGTGTCGGGAAGCTGCTCGTCGGGCTCCACTGTCTGCTCGTCGCAGACGAGTGGATTTTCGAGCCCTGCATATATATATATATATATACACTCTGAGTAGCCAGTAGCCGCCATATCACGGCGGCTCCGCCGGGTTCTCAGTGTGTAATGACAGTTCAGCATCTCCTGGTTACCTATTAACTAGGGTAAGCTGGACTGTCATTACACACTGAGAACCGGGCAGAGCCACCATGATATCACAGTGGCTCTGCCTGGTTCTCAGTGTGTAATGACAGATCAGCATCTCCTGGTTACCTAGTAACCCGGCGATGCTGCCATGATATCACGGCGGCTCCACTGGGTTCTCAGTGTGTAATGACAGTTCAGCATCTCCTGGTTACCTAGTAACCAGGAGACGCTGGACTGTCATAAGAGCTTGTCGGAGCCGGCTTTGATATGACCACCGGCTCCGACAAGCTCTCATTGTAATGACAGCTGGTCCCGCCAATAGAAAACAGTTGGGCGGAGCTAGCTGTCACTGCTAGCTCCGCCCAATCATTTTCTCCTTTTTTTCTACTTTTTCTATTCTGCTCGGTACGTCTATTAAAATTTGCACACACATACGACCACATGCTTTTTAAAACTTTGTGTGAATGGAGCCTAACAGTCTGGTCCCATGGTCAGTCTTTATCTTGTTGTCTGGTCTAGCTAAATGTATAACCTTGGAATCTATGATGTTAAAAGTCTGAGAATTTCTGACGTTATACTGTTTTGTTTCCAGCCCCTGAAATGAAAAATTCACCTTGATTCTACAGAATCAAAATGGCTTCCAGTATCCCCATGTTACATTATGTATAGGTGATTAGTCTAGATCTCACAGTTTAATTCTGTGAGTGCTTAATAGTTCCGATAAAGGAAGGCAGGTAGGTTATTCCTAAAAAACCTACAAATCTTCTGTGGATGTAGGTTGCCTCAAATCCTTCTGTCTCTTCATGTAATCCCACACAGGCTCATTTTCAGGACTCCTTGTTGTTCTTTATGCTGAAGATAGTTTTTAACGACATTGGCTGTATGTTTGGGGTAGTTGTCCTGCTGCAGAATAAATTTGAGGCCAATCACACATCTCCCTGATGGTATGGCATGATGCATAAGTATCTGCTTGTATTTCTCAGCATTTAGGACACCATTGATCCTGACCAAATCTCCAATTCGATTTGCAGAAATGCAGCTCAGACTTGCAAGGAACCTCCACCATGCTTCACTGTTGCCTGCAGACATTCATTATTGTACTGCTCTCCAGCCCATTTAGTGAAGAATCTGTCTCCTGCTACTGCCAAATATTTAAACTTTTGACTCATCAGTCCAGAGCACCTGCTGCCATGTTTTCCTGCATAGTTGAGTCACTTAGCCTTGTTTCCATGTTGTAAGTATGACTTTGTGGCCGCAATTCTTCCATGAAGACCACTTCTGGCCAGACTTCTCCAGACAGTTGATGGGTGTACCTGGGTCCCACTGGTTTCCACCAGTTTGGTGCTGATGTCACTGTAAGCATGATGTGTCTTTCATCTGTTGCATTAAGTGTCCTCATTGTTGCTCATTTCTTTGTGCTTATTCAAAAGTGCTTGAACAGTACATCTTGAAACCCCAGTCTGCTTGGAATTTTTTGCCTGGGCGAGACCTTGCTGATGCAGTATAACTACCTTGTGTACCATGTGAGCTGTGCACCTCACCTTAGTAGCATAGTTTGGCTTTTCCTCACCCAGTTTTAAGCCTCCTACACAGAAGTTTCTGTTTCAGCTAATGACTATGTTTCAACTTACCTATAAAATTTATGAACATTAGCAACTGCTTTGTATAATTGGTTAATCATACACCTGACTCTAATCATACAAAATCCCTGACGGTGTGCTTTTGTAAGAATCGATGCTGGTTTGAAGCCAAAGGGTAGTCACACCAAATATTGATTTGATGTAGATTTTTCTTCTGTTCGCTCAATTTGCTTTTTGTGAATTGATAAAAATAAACATTAAAAATATATATTTTTGAAAGCATTCTTACTTTACAGCATTTTTTCACACCTGCCTAAAACCTTTGCACAGTATTGTATATTGTTTTGGGCATAGCCAGCTCATTCCACATTTTGATTGAACAATGTAGCATTTGGTTCACATGTGGTTGTTATTATGTCAGCTGTTTCAAACAGACCAAAGCGATGCTTGCTCTGACATTAATGACTCTGGACCTTGACTAAGATCTACTTTTTTGGGTTTGATGCTTGCCTCCCATATCTTTTGGCAACAACCTTCAACATGATTCTTGGTTATGCTCCTATCTCACACCTGGCAGTTTTTACCCCCGCTCAAAACCCCACAATGCTCAGTGGTTAACCTTGTGCTGTTGTGTGGAGGGTTAGATTACCCCTAGGCCTGTCCTGTTACCTGTTAGGAGAGAAGTTGAAAATCTACACACTATAATCTGGTACAAAAGACCAATTAACTGGAACATACACATTAAGTATGCCCACAAATTGGCTGATATAAGTGAAGTGCACTGGAGCATAGGCCATAGGATCTGAGCTCAAAGATGAGCATTATGTGCAGTATAGAATCTGATTGTTATGTTGCTATTTTGTGTTTTCTTCTGTTAAAAGCTGTTAACGTTACAGTTTTGGATGTACAATATATCAGTATATATTTCCAATGTCTCTTGATCTTGCATTCACAATTTTAGGACCTATGAAGAAATAGACCTTGAAAATTACTAAGTTGTAAATACAGCATTGCTTTACTCACATAAAAAAAATTTAATTCTAATTTTGAGCATCATTTTGTAGTATTATTTTTAAAAGCTGCATTTTAATTCATCTATGATTATCTGGTTGTGGAACTACTCTTGATTATCCCACTTTTCTGACTGTTGTACATAAGTTTTTAAAGCTTTGGGATAATTCAACTAAACATGAATATTCTTGTGCCAAAAAGGTACTTAGTGGGTCTTTTGAAGTGCTAAATCAAAATAAGATAGTGTATCTTAAAAGATATATTAATGCAACATCTATGGGCATATGTATTGCCACATTTTTAATATTAAAGCAAATCTTTCTGTGACCTTAGACTTATTAGGAAAATAACAGTTCTTTCAGATTCCTTAGGCATTTGAAATAACATAATTTAGCTGCTAATGTATATTTCAGTTAAATGCAGTTCTATTCCAACGTATGTTTGGTAACCTGAGGATAAAATGTTTACAGTGTTTATTTTGGATGGGGTTAAAAAATGGAGTAGCAGAAATAGCAAACTAGATATTAGCGTAACAATATTTAGCATTACCAAATTATGCAGTATTACAAACACACACACATACACACACTGGTTTAAATTCCTCCCAGATAACCTCATGGGGTGTGCAGTGAAAGTCTCTGAAAGAAAAAAATTTTTTTACTTTTCTGTAGAATTCTTTTATTATTTATTACTGTTTATTCCAGTATGGACATTCATGCATGTTTGTGAGCTACTGTGGGAGCTAAAGAGGGCATGTCTTCTGACAGGAAGTGAGGCAAAGTGAGGGAAAAGGAAACACTGACAAATAAAGTATATATTACAGTATACAGTATATTAGCAGAGCAGAAGAAGACTAGAACTCCTGTCAGATATTTATGCCTGTTTGTGTCCCTGTTGCAGATGTTCACTCACTTCCTGTCGGGTGTAAGTGTTGTCAGCATGACAGGAAGTGAGTCCTTGATAGCAATAAAACCAACAAAGGTTCTAATCCTGTTCTATGGTATCCAAAACAACAAAAAGAGGCCTGCAATTTTTTTAAATAAATTCTTTATTTTAAGTTTTTTGAGTAATACAGTCAATAGACAAAAAAAAAATACATAAACAAGACAGTATAGCATGCGGCTAGTACATCGTCAATGTCGTAAACTTACAATGTAACCAACAGTCATGTGGCTATCTCATGTCCCGTCGGGTGATATGCAAGTAGAGTAGCCAGGTACACGCACGTGTATATAGATATACTTATAAACAGTATATGATGATTTAAGGTGTTTCTGAGATTGATGCGAATTGTCGCGCATCGGCGTCATGCATAGGGAGAACCCTAGGGCCAAACATCGGTACCGACTACCTGTTATAACACTGTCGGTTATCTAGACATCGCATGGAAATACTACAAAAAGGCAGGGGGAAGAGGGTATCAGAGTCTAGAAAGGAAGGAGAAAGCAGAAATCAGTACAGAGAGAAGGAGAGGAGGGGAGTGGAGCAGGAAAGGGGAGAAGAAGGGGAGGTGGGGAAAAGGAATATGATCAGCAATAGGTTATGTTCCAAACCCCGGCCATTTCTCACTACACGCATAGCTGCAGCCTACCTCCTCAAGTGGAATTCTGGGTGTCCGGGTCGATTTCCATAGCGCTGGAATACAACAGCGCGCCGCGTTCAGGAGGTGTGGAAGAATAGACGCTTTATAGTATTTCCTGGGGAAAGAGTTGTGATGGAGAAGGAAAAAAGCTAGGTCCCAAGGGATTTCTCTGTCAGTAAATTTACCTAGTAAGGACTTAACGGAAGCCCAGAATGGAGTCACTCTTGGGCAGGACCAGAAGATATGAAGTAAGTAGCCCAGGGCTTCATTACAGCGCCAACAACAGTTGGGCACAGAGGGGTACATCGAGTGGAGGAGCTGAGGGGTCCTGTACCAACGAGTGAGGAGTTTAAATCCAGATTCCTGGACTCTCGTGTGAATGGAGGATTTAAAGGAGAAGTGGTTAAGTCTCGCTATTTGGGCGGAGGTGAAACTAACATCTAGATCCCGTTCCCATTTTCGAATGTAGTCGGGGGCGCTATCTCCCATAGGAGCATTTAATAGAGAATACATGAATGAGACTGCAGGTCGAAGGTGATCCGATTTATCACATTTCGACTCAAAGGCCGTGAGTTGACAAGAAAAGTCGGTGGCAGGGGGTAACGTGTGAAGGAAATGGGAGAGCTGTATAGTCCTCCAAAAACCTAGCGTGGCTGTTTTAGAGTACGATAGGAGGAGAGCTCTGGATGGCCATAAGCCATGCCATATAAAGTGCTTTGCCCTGAAACAGTCCGACAATCTAAGTGATCTAAAGGCACCGTCTTCTAGGCCTGGGGTGAAACACGGGTTACCCAGTATTGGAAAGAGGGGGGAAGGATGCGGTGAAATGTGAGGGGTGTCAAAAACTTTCCTGCAAACCTTCCAGGTGGCACCCACCATCGGATGGGATCTCCGTCGGTATGGGCGAGCTACACCAAGGGAGGCAGTGTAAGGGGATAACTGAGTCTGCCTGTTCTACTTGCATCCAGGGTTTGGGGTTGTCACCATGGCACCAGTTTGCAACTCTAGCAAGGTGACAGGCAGCATAGTAAAGAGAAGCGTCAGGTAGGCCAATACCGCGATTTGCCTTTGAGAGGCATAGGAGGGTGAACTTCAACCTGGGAGGTTTGTGGGCCCAAAGGAATTGTGAGTACAACCTGTTCAATGATTTTAAGTACCAGAGGGGAATTCGGATCGGCAGAGCTTGAATAGATACAGGACCCGGGGCATAATGCTCATTTTAATAACATTACATTAATCTTGACCTGTGCGGATGGGTGGGAGTAGATCCTCCTGATCCATGCCAACATCCGATTACTGAGTCCCAGATATTGCAGTACTGAGTCCATATACTTCCAATTCACCCTATCGAAGGCCTTTTTGGCATCTGTGGACAGCAGTATTAGGGGTATGGACTTGGAGTTAGCGGCAAGGAGAGTAGCCAGGACTCTTGTAGTGTTGTCCCTAGCTTCCCTCGTGGGCACAAAGCCCGATTGGTCGGGGTGTATCACTGCAGTAATCAGGGGGGGTAATCTGGATGCCAGAATCTTGCTAAATAGTTTAAGGTCTACGTTTAGGAGAGATATGGGTCTGTAGCTAGAACATGCGAGGGGGTCTTTGCCTTCCTTGGGTATCACTGTAATATGGGCTCTGAGGGTATCTAGTGGGAAAGCACCCCCAGACCCGACCTCATTAAATGCTCTAATGAAATAAGGGGAAAGGAGGTCCTGGTATGTTGTATGGGTGAAGCCATCAGGGCCGGGCGCTTTCCCCACGGCAGTCTGTGAGATAGCCTGAGCTAGCTCCTCAGAAGTAATAGGGGAATCCAGAGCCAAAATATCCACACTCGAGAGTCGAGGCATTCCCGAGTCCACAAGATACTTGTTTATGGTCTCTAAGAGGACGGTCACCCTGGGCTACAGAGTCTGCCTGAAGGTTATAGAGGGACGTGTAGTATAGTCGGAACACCTCTGCGATGTCCTCGGTTTTGGAAACTTTAGAATTATCACCAGTCAGAATTTCTGGGATAAAGGATCATTCCTGTTGAGTTCGCAAAGCTCGAGCAAGAAGTTTCCCGCATTTGTCACCAAATTCGTAGAAAGTGCGTCTGCATTTGGTTAGCGTATTTTTAGTAAAGGGAGTGCAGACGAAGCCTCAGAGAGGTCAGTTCCCCCAGAGCTCCAACCGCTAGAGTACGCTTATGAAGAGTTTCGAGGGTATGGATCTTAGTGAGCAGTTCAGTAATCTTTGCCAGTCTAGCGCGTTTAATGCGAGAACCAAGTTTGATAAGAACTTCCCTAATGTAAGCTTTGTGGGCTTCCCACAAAATCATGGGGTCACAGAACGCACCATGTGGGATAGTGAGTCATCTTGGAGGAGTGATTAATTTAGTCGCCATGTCCAGGGGGGAGGTGGGGCCTGGGATAAGTCCATGGCCATTAAGATTTCTGCATTGTCGGACAGGGAGATAGAACCTATGGATGCCGTTTTTAAACGAGGGAGATCGCAGTGGCGAACCAGGAACATGTCATTTCTGGAGTAGGACTGGTGGGGGCTAGAGAAGAACGTGTAGTCCTTGTCGGTGGGATGAAGCAGGCGCCATGCATTCGTCAGCTGGTGCAGTCTCAGGCATTTAGGAATACGTCTGAGGGCAGAGTAGGACAAGTGCGAGGAGGACCTAGAGGAGTGTATTAACGGATCTAAGACAAAGTTAAAGTCTCCTCCAACCACCCACACACCCTCTGCAAATAGGGACAGGTGATCTAGTACCTGTTCCAGGTAGGAGATCTGATGTAAATTGGGGAGATATAGATTAGCAAAAGTCCAAAGTTGACCTCCTAAGGTCCCTTTGACAAAAAGGGCTCAACCTTCTGGACAAGACCACGTATCCACAAGCTTCCAGTTGGAGTTACGATGGAGAAGAATGCTTACCCCTTTAGTTTTAGTATCTGGTGTGGAGCAATGATAAGCATGAGGGTAGTAACAGTTGTGGAATTTGGGGACCTGGTCTGTCCGAAAGTGGGACAAAGCAAATTTCAGCTCGCAACCTTAAACTCCTGCAAAACCATAGATCTCTTCTCGGGCGTGTTCAATCCCTTGACATTGTGGGATGCCAGGGACAACAAGCTAATGGAGGACAAATCCTCAATAGGAACTGCACCAGGGGGGGGGGGAACCTCTGATGCGTTCAGGGCCTAGATGGGGAAATAGGTTTAAGACTAAGGTAACGGAGCCATGGGAGAGCTCCGGGCATCGACTTTCGGTATGTTTGTATAATACATAACTGAACATCATCGAGAACAGAAGATAACATTTAAAGGCACTAAATCCACAGATAGTGGGCTGCAGAGTTATACAATGAGGGTTGTATCAAAGTATAAGTAAACAATAAACCACAACATTAACTTTTTCTTACTCTATGTCCACCTCCCTGTGGCTCCTTCCTCCCCCAACCCCCCTCTTCCGCTGTCCTGTGAGCTTAAGAAGCAGGGACAGAGGGGAGTGCGTGGGACCCCCTGAGCCTCAGACACCAGGTCTCCAGTCATTAATAGACCGCCAATAAGATAATTTGGGAGCAAGGAATGTGGCTCTGATCTATCGGGTAACCGTATCCAGGTATAACCGCTAATGCGTGAGTTCAGAGGTCCCTCCCACACATGGAACCCAGTGAGAAATCAACAGGAGGGGGAGAGGGAGGAATCATGTCAACCCGTGCGTACGAGTGCCCACGTGTCTCGCCTCCAAGGCTTAGGACTCCGGAGGGCCGTCGCCGCCCGGGGTGCATAAGGTCAGAAACCAGGACCCTGATCACAGATCCCAAACTGGCAAACAAAAACTGTATAGGAAACACTTCAGAGGAGGAATCATGTGAGTTAGACCCAATTATGTAGACAAGATATATGAAAAGGGAAGGGCACTAGACCAGCCCAGTGGACCCCTGCCGTAGTGAGGTATAGGCAGGTATAGTTGTAAAAAAAAACATGTAGGGTGGTCTCATTCCCAATCTTCCCCCCTCAAACTTGGGGGGAAGATGGGGATATCTTTACCGGAAGGGCTAGGCACCTGTATGGTGGTACAGTATGGCGGGATAATCCACAGCGAAGGTCCAGAAGTCCGCATCTTGCTCATCCTGAAGAAAACAGAGCACAGCAAATTACTTGGAGGAGACAAGAGACAGTCAGCCAGTAAAGGAACAGTGGCTCATGTAGGAGCACAGCTCGGGTGGGTTACAGCAGCATTGGGAATCAGGCCTTGCGGGTATTCGTGGGTCCGGTACAGGGCCCAGTCCTCCGAGTGATGTTATGAGGGCTGTCGGAGACCCTGCCAGAGGTGCGCGGTCGGTAGGGAGCATTATTTTGGGGAGGAGCCATCTCGGTTGCGTATGCGATCACCAGGCGGCTCCAGAGAGGGGCGAAGCCAGTCCGGTACTGCGACACAGTCGATCTCCAGGAAGGTGAACAAGGCAGGTAGATCCGCGGGGTCTTCAGTACAAAGGTGACTTCCGATTTCCGAACTAACAGATGGAACGGAAAACCCCATCTGTAGGTAGCACCTGAGCTTTGTATAGCCTCCAGTAGCGGTCGACGTATATGTCTCATAAGCAGGATACGCCTAGAGAAACCCGGATACAGTTGGATAGTCGCACATTACATAATGAAAAAAAATATTCTGCAGATTACATCTCTAGGTTTGTTCGAGGCCTGTGGTCTGGGGCCTAAACATTATTCCGTCTGCCCCGATTATCCAAGTCATCCAAGTGAAGGATAGTGGCAGATAGTTGTTGTTGCTCTGCCGTATGCGAGGGGGCCACTCTTCTGGAAGGTGAGCCGGGGTCACAAATAGCCTCTTAAAGGCAGTTTTGGGGGTATATTGCGACCCCTTTGTCTTGCCTCCCTTTTTCATAGCGCCTGGAAGGGAATACTGGTGAATGTAGATGCATTCTAAGCTCTCTTTCTAGCAGGATACCAGCTAGTATGCCTGCTGTGCCAAGCTAATTTCTGCTAGTAGGCACTTTTTAAAATTAAATACCAGCATCTTAACCATGCAGAGCCAACCTGTTCAAAATATACAGGAATATTACTGGACAGCATACCATATGTTACTGTTTATAATTAATTTATGCCTTATTACAATTAAAATGAATTACATATTTGAATGTGGGATTAGAACCTCTTGTCTTTATTTCTCAGTACTGACTGTGATTCTTCCTTAACCAATTTTTAGTGATTCCAACAATCAGTTCAATGTCCTAGCATTAGATGAATCAACCTCTATGTCCTGTATTGGTAAAATAAAGCATTACATTGATTTGCTGCTGTGAACATAATTCCAGATTTAGTTTTTCGATGTAAGTCCTAGTCATTATTTTCAGAACATTGACTTTCTTTGATTTGTATTTTATTTTATTTTACTGTATTTTAAAGTAAATGTATGGTGCTTTATTTTTTATTTATTTACTATTTACAGTTCTAAAAAAATTAAATTTTTTTTTTTTATTCTCAGGTAAATATAGGAAATATTGCATTTGCATTTTCACCGAATTATACACTCCTTTTTATTATAATTCAATGTTAATCCTAACAGCTTTGATAGGAAAGCCTGTTTATGGAGCTTATATGTATGGAGCTTAATAGCTGCAATTTCCAAGTACATCAGCCAGAGGAGTGACTAATTCACCACCCTTCATGCCGTTTTCTTACGGGGCCACGTGGACAGCGTTTGCTGTGTTCTCTTTAGAAAACGAATGATATTCTATGACACCAAAGGATGTCATAATAATTGTAAACAAAGATAAACAACATCAGTTTAAAAAAACATATAAATAAAAATTCATTCAAAACCATTACAGTTTCCCTTTAAAAGGGGGCATGTATATTAAAGGATCAGTTCACTTAAAATGGCTATTGGATATATAATTTTTTTGTAGTCACTGAAAAGTTGGATTTGTTTCTCAGGGATTCCAGTGGCAAGATTTGCAGTAGATTTTATCTCCATGTCTTGTAGTCTTTCTCTGCTTTCCTCTGTCTCCAGTAAGAAAAATCTTACCCCTCCTGCTGATATACAATAAATAAAAAGCCCAACAGGGAACAAAAAGAGTGTTTTTTGTGGAGAGGTTAATTTTATATTCCTTTAATGGAAACCTGTGCTTTTCCTGTTAAGAGCAATGCAACAGCTTTGCTTTACTGTTAGCTCCTTAGCACCAGCTACTCCACTTCTCTCCCCCTTGCCACTCTGTTCACATAGTATGTCTGCATATGGAGAGCATGCAACTTGTTCCCCTTCATTCCTCGTGATAGCACTGTTGCTTTACAGTTGGCTGCTCAAGCTCACATCACTGTTACATGTAGGGCAGAGAAAGAGAGTACTTGTGACTTGAAAGAGAAAGGGCAGTTGATCACTTGCTTTTTCATATCCTGAATTACTTAGTATGTCACTTCGCTTGCCCAGGTGAATGGAGTGGTAGGCTGTGAAGGGAACATATAAGCAGTTGGTATGGCTGGCTATAAAGTGAACTGGTTTCTTTGCCCTACATAGGCAAATCAAACATTGACTTTAAATAACGAGTGTGTCCTATAATTAAATTCCTGTTTGATTCAGCCTTCCTCTTTGAAGCAACATGAATGGGACTGAAATTAATGTGGTTAGTTGCATTTACAGTGTGGCTAAATTGTTTTTGCTGTTTAGTATTTAAGTTGTTTATAAATGTTCTGCTCTTTCAGAAAGGGGGTCTCTGCTAGATTTGTAGCTACAGATGGTGGGATCACAAGAGTGTATCCAAAAAGGTAATGTGCCATTATCAGTTCTTAAAACATATTTAGGGCATGTATTGTGAAAAAATATATAGAGTATTCTGTAAGCAAAAATGCTGGTGAGTTAATTGGCTTATGCATTAATAGATAGCAGGCTACTTTTACAGTGGGAACGTAGCTTGTTCGATTCACATGCAAAAAAGTACAAATGGTTGTCTTTTCTGCAGGTATGTTATCATAGGCAGTTTGATGGGAGCAGGACGATATAATACCAATGCTAGTATTCCAGCAGTAGATAAAACATACAGCTGTCACAATGATATAACCATGAAGTGTCACCATTGCTCTTACAACACTTTAGAACTGTCACTCTATTCTATCACTGTCGCTGATTACCAGTGTAAAAAAAGGAATTATTAATGTGCAAATTTCTTTCGGTGGGTGTCATTCCAACTTATCCCTGCCTACTACTAAAAGCAGGTTTATATAATTAAAAACATTGTTTTGACATAACTGCACAAATATAGATAAAGGATTTTTTTTTTTACATGAATGAAAAAAATTATATTCCGATACTAATCAGAATACATATACTGTATACTTTATTGTAAAATTCCATTAAATACTTTCAAATTTAAAACAAAATGCCAGTAAACATTGTAAATTATATTTTCCTTATTTACATACCTTTTATTGGTCATATGACAGTTTCATTCTTTATTGGTATGATGCATTTAAGATCACTGAAAGTGTAATTAGAAAGAACTCTTACAATAAAATATATATAGTATTTTGTATCTACATTCTTTCTGTGGTTTAATGGGTATTCCACCTTGACACCACCTTATAAAACCATCTGGAACTGTTGCTTAAAATGTCATGCAGTGTTGATTATTTTTACAACTCAAGAATATGACTCATGCTGCTTTCTGGATACAGTTGCATTATAACATTTGTATCGCAATGCACGCCATGAAAATAAACCCAAGTCTAATAGCATAAATATATAGCTAAAAGCACATTAGGAAACCAAAAGAGATACACAATGCATTTTAAGTATGTGCCTTATGGCTTCATTTGAATCCATGGTCTATGTAATAAAATTAGGAAACATACCGTATTTTTCGCTCCATAAGACGCACTTTTTTTCCCCCCAAAAGGAGGGGGAAAATGTGCCTGCGTCTTATTGAGTGAATCCCGACGCCCAAGACATGCAATTTCGGGCACCGGGCGAGTAGTAGGAGCCACTGCTCGTTTAATACGAGTGATCTAATGAAATCACTCGTATTAAAGCCGAGCAGCGGCGATCAAGTTCAGCAGCAGGAGCCACTGCTCGTTCAATACGAGTGATCTAATGAGATCACTCGTATTAAAACCGAGCAGCGGCGACGATCGAGATCACCATAGAGCAGACGAAGAACGGACTTTCTTCGTCTGCTCTGTGTGATCACTGAGACCGTGGCGCTGTAATCACAGCGCCACCTGTCTCAGCGGTCACTAACTGCAGCTTCTGTCACAGCTCCTGTCATAGAAGCTGTGTCAGAAGCTACAGTCTGTCGAGTGCTCCATAAGGCGCGCCGGACCTCCCTGCGTCCTATGGTGCGGTGCGTCTTATGGACCGCAAAATATGGTAATTTATAATTTATCATCAGACTGTACAGTAAGTTGCAAAATTAAATCTATATTTTTTATATTGCTTCAATAATAAAGGTATATAAGTAGGATCCAGTGTGAATTTACATATACTCCTACTACAAACACACACACACACACACACACACACACACACACACATATATATATATATATATACACTATATTGCCAAAAGTATTGGGACACACAAATCATTGGATTCAGGTGTTCCGTGAAATTTCCTTGCTACTAAATATTCCACGGTCAACTGTTAGTGGTATTATAACAAAGCAGAAGCCACTGGGAACAACAGCAAGTTAGCCACGAAGTGGTAGGCCACGTAAAATGACAGAGCGGGGTCAGCGCATGCTGAAGTGCCCAGTGCACAGAAGTCGCCAACTGTCTGCAGAGTCAATAGCTACAGACCTCCAAACTTCATGGGGCCTTCAGATTGGCACAACAACAGTGCATAGAGAACTTCATGGAATGGGTTTCCATGGCCGAGCAGCTGCATCCAAGCCTTACATCACCAAGTGCAATGCAAAGTGTCGGATGCAGTGGTGTAAAGCACGCCGCCACTAAATTTTAGAGAAGTGGAGACGTGTTCTCTGGAGTGACAAATCACGCTTCTCTGTCTGGCAATCCGATGGACGTGTCTGGGTTTGGCGCTTGCCAGGAGAACGGTACTTGCCTGACTGCAATGTGCCAAGTATAAAGTTTGGTGGAGGGGGGCGGATTGTGTTGTGGGGTTGTTTTTCAGGGGTTAGGCTTGGCCCCTTTGTTCCTGTGAGGGGAACTATTAAGGAATCAGCATACCAAGACGTTTTGGACAATTTCATGCTCCCAACTTTGTGGGAACAGTTTGGGGATAGCTCCTTCCAGATCCAACATAACTGCGCACCAGTGCACAAAGCAAAGTCCATAAAGACATGGATGAGTGAGTTTGGGGTTGAGGAACCTGACTGGCCTGCACAGAGTCCTGACCTCAACCCGATACAACACCTGTGGGATGAATTAGAGTGCAGACTGCGAGCCAGGCCTTCTCGTCCAACATCAGTACCTGACCTCACTAATGCGCTTCTGGAAGAATGGTCAAACATTCCCATAGACACACTCCTAAACCATATGGACAGCCTTCCCAGAAGAGTTGAAACTGTTATAACTGCAAAGAGTGTGCCAACTCAATATTGAACCCTACGGACTAAGACTGGGATGCCATTAAAGTTCATCTGTGTGTAAAGGCAGGCGTCCCAATTCTTTTGGCAATATAGTGTATGTCATATCTCTGGTGCAAGTATGAGACCAAAAAATGTTTACAAACGTATTTGTGTTTAGGAATGATGAAGTGTCTGTAATTCTTTATTTCAGCTTTAGAGCTTTACACTGAGTCGCCAGATTATTATGACCACCTGATGTTTGTAGGCAAATTAGCTATAATTAGCTATAATTTCATGCTGAAGTTGCTAGAGGGCCAGACCCTTATAAATAGGGAAGCAGGTTGTTTACCAAGACAGTAGATGTGATTTTTTTTCTGAAGATATGGGTAAACAACGCGATTTAACAGCCTTCGAACGTGGGATGATTGTTGGCCCTCGGAGCCATGGAGCGAGTATAAGCAAAACAGCAGAATTCGATAAATGTTCAAGAGCAACTGTTGTTGAAGTTGTTTAAAGACTGGACTGTCAGCCGAAAATCTGGGTCTGAACGTGCGAATTGTGGCCGTCAGCGACTAGTCAATGTTAGGGCAGAACAGAGAATGGCAAGACTGGTACAAGACAACAGAACGACAACAGTCCAGTGTCAGATTCCTCACATCACCTTTCAACATCTCGTGGAATCAGGAGGCGCCCTAACGAAGTCATCTCTTGGAGTCATCTCGGGGCCCAACGAAGTACTCATGGGGTGGTCATAATATTCTGGCGACTCAGTGTATATTTGCAGGACTCCTGCCTTTGTGATATCACATGCCAAAGTTATGAATAGCATTAGGTTAGCTCTGTAACCTAGCTTTGTAACCTTTATTGTTAATATTACACAATGTTTGTTTGTTTTTTATACTTTTAGTGCTGGGGAGTACTGGTTCGAAGACCCTGAAACGTATGAGGATAGTTTTTACAAGCGCAGTTTGGACAATGACAATTATATTTTTACAGCCCCTTATTTCAACAGTAAGTTTTCACTAATTTTGTGGTGTGATGTATACCCTAATGATAGGGGGACTACATTTAAGATTAAGCATGAGATTTAACTAACAATGGATCCCACAGTGTTAATGCTAGGTATTGTAGTTTTACTTTGTGTCTTTATTTTCCAAACGGTCAGTTTCAAAGTTGTCAAAGTGGATACAGCTAATATGAAGAGATTTATTTTTTATGTCAGCATTGTTTCATTTAACCTAGGAATAGCTCTTACATTTGTCCCTTTCTCACATATGATATAACTATGCTCTAATCGTATTCCCTTGACTATCTTCCACTAAAGCAAAAGCTACTTTGATCTGGTATAAATGCTGCAACTTGGTTTAGATATCTATGATGCTTCTTGCATTCTGCTTCTGTCAGTTTCTGTTCTTATATACATTTTATACACTTTGTGCAATATTGTTTGACTAGGAACCGGGCTTGCTTCTTATGAAAATGGTATAATGGTTAGCAAAGCAGTGGAAATAACTATTAATGGTAAACTACTTAAGCCGGCTGGTGAGTACCCTTATTAGTTGATACATCATTAAAATTTGCACTTTTCTTGTAGTAGGGCATGTTAGCATTATCAGATCCTATTATTATTTTAAGGAAAAAAGTCTCTTCATTTATAGTCTGTTCCCTTTCTTACCATAAATTAAAAAAACAGTGCTTCCAGGCTCCCTTATATGGCCTAAAATTCTAGGCTTTTATGCCTGGCCTAAAATATGACATGGTGCAGTCTATTGTTTTCTGTAAGGATGAACCTGTGTGAGACATAAAGGCTTAGGCAAGGTGAACAGTGAAGCACAACGTGGATATGCACTGAACAAATGTGGCTCCCTCATGTAAATAATTGCAAACTAAACATAGAAACAATATTTCTAAAACAGTAAAACCACCTGACAAGGTTATTGACATTTAAAAGACAATGGGGGGAATTTAGCAAAGCAATCAATTACAACAGTTTTGGCCTCTTAGATCATTTTGTTTATGTGCAAATCTGTCTTTCAACATGTGCCCCTGTTTTTACCTGAGCTTGCACTACTTTTCCAACTGCACGTGTTTTGCACCTGTTTTCATCAGAGCTTGCACTACTTTTTCAGTTGCACCTTTTTTGCACCTGTTTTCATCTGCACTTGTCCTGCGGCTGTCTGAAACTGGAGCATCACCTAAGAAAACAATCACAACTTAAGATGCCCCCATGACCACTTCTTCAAGAAGCAACAGTTAAGCTTTTTGCCTGGAGTTACAAGTCTTCTTTCCTGGAGTCTATTTAACCTAATTTATCAACAACATTACATTAGCATCATAAATCTGGTGCAAACATATTCCGTGCAAATTCAAACACTCGCAATTGCTATGATAAATTCCCTCCAATGTCATCTTGCCCTTGTAGAGCTAAGTGATAGTGTTGACGCGAAGCCCCACCACTGAATTCATTACACTTCACTTACCTTAGATACCTTGACACTGCTTCCTCCTTCACAGCTGGTGACAATACCTGGCACTTCTGAGTATGAAGGGGCATGTGAAGACCTCTCTTGGTGTTCAGATCTAGCAACCAGTTGCTAGGAAGGGTTTGAATCTCTTTGGTTTTGCCCTATAAGTGCAAACTGCATTCACTATATTTTTAAAGCAATCACACACAGTAGTAATTTCCAAATCATAGCAACTGCCCATGTACAGCAAAGTATTGTTCTAAAGCAAAGTGTGCAGTGACACGGACACCTTTCCATAAAGCAACACATTAAACGAGAACCTCCTAAATTAACCTATTAATAGTAAAATAAACAGGTTGCTATTGCTGAGCTTCTTCTGAAAATGCTACTTGCTTGGCAATGTCTCCCAGGAGTACTTTCTAAAACACCAAAAGAAGCACGAGTACCTTTTCAAAAAATCACACTGCACCATGTTGCATTGATGTGCACAGGCAATTTTAAGAATAATGTGATGCATTGTCATGCAGTGTGGTGCAACAGTAGACACAGAAAAAGTTGCACTAGTGTGAACGGGGCTTATATCAATAATTGAAATATACATCTAGCAGCTAATGTCTAACAAAGTCTGAAGTTCTGCCTAGCATACTTGTTCTAAGTTTACTGTAACAACCAGGCAACTAATAATTTTCAAAACAAGGTCACAAATAGCAGACCCTTATTTCTCTCATAATAAGTTTCCTATTGTGAATAGGAATTGCGTTTTTTGTGTTAAATAAATTGTAATGAATGCATTTTGCATGTTTCTTGAAGATGCCTATGATATTTATTAAAAAGTGTATTTTATGTATTCTTAGCATAGGCTAGACTTACCTATTACATTGCTGTACTGATATCTTCACTGTGCAGCCTGCTTGACACTGAACATCATCTGGACAAAATCTTCTAAAAAGTACTCGTGTGTGCAGCACAGTCTTTATTTTTTTCAGTTGTAACTTTGTCAATCAGACTGTTGGCTGGCTTTTAACAAAAGCAAATAAAGACTAGAGAGCTCAAGTACAACCCATAAGAATTATGAAGATATTGTGAAATTTCCTTGCTACTAAATATTCCACGGTCAACTGTTAGTGGTATTATAACAAAGCAGAAGCCACTGGGAACAACAGCAAGTTAGCCACGAAGTGGTAGGCCACGTAAAATGACAGAGCGGGGTCAGCGCATGCTGAAGTGCCCAGTGCACAGAAGTCGCCAACTGTCTGCAGAGTCAATAGCTACAGACCTCCAAACTTCATGGGGCCTTCAGATTGGCACAACAACAGTGCATAGAGAACTTCATGGAATGGGTTTCCATGGCCGAGCAGCTGCATCCAAGCCTTACATCACCAAGTGCAATGCAAAGTGTCGGATGCAGTGGTGTAAAGCACGCCGCCACTAAATTTTAGAGAAGTGGAGACGTGTTCTCTGGAGTGACAAATCACGCTTCTCTGTCTGGCAATCCGATGGACGTGTCTGGGTTTGGCGCTTGCCAGGAGAACGGTACTTGCCTGACTGCAATGTGCCAAGTATAAAGTTTGGTGGAGGGGGGCGGATTGTGTTGTGGGGTTGTTTTTCAGGGGTTAGGCTTGGCCCCTTTGTTCCTGTGAGGGGAACTATTAAGGAATCAGCATACCAAGACGTTTTGGACAATTTCATGCTCCCAACTTTGTGGGAACAGTTTGGGGATAGCTCCTTCCAGATCCAACATAACTGCGCACCAGTGCACAAAGCAAAGTCCATAAAGACATGGATGAGTGAGTTTGGGGTTGAGGAACCTGACTGGCCTGCACAGAGTCCTGACCTCAACCCGATACAACACCTGTGGGATGAATTAGAGTGCAGACTGCGAGCCAGGCCTTCTCGTCCAACATCAGTACCTGACCTCACTAATGCGCTTCTGGAAGAATGGTCAAACATTCCCATAGACACACTCCTAAACCATATGGACAGCCTTCCCAGAAGAGTTGAAACTGTTATAACTGCAAAGAGTGTGCCAACTCAATATTGAACCCTACGGACTAAGACTGGGATGCCATTAAAGTTCATCTGTGTGTAAAGGCAGGCGTCCCAATTCTTTTGGCAATATAGTGTATGTCATATCTCTGGTGCAAGTATGAGACCAAAAAATGTTTACAAACGTATTTGTGTTTAGGAATGATGAAGTGTCTGTAATTCTTTATTTCAGCTTTAGAGCTTTACACTGAGTCGCCAGATTATTATGACCACCTGATGTTTGTAGGCAAATTAGCTATAATTAGCTATAATTTCATGCTGAAGTTGCTAGAGGGCCAGACCCTTATAAATAGGGAAGCAGGTTGTTTACCAAGACAGTAGATGTGATTTTTTTTCTGAAGATATGGGTAAACAACGCGATTTAACAGCCTTCGAACGTGGGATGATTGTTGGCCCTCGGAGCCATGGAGCGAGTATAAGCAAAACAGCAGAATTCGATAAATGTTCAAGAGCAACTGTTGTTGAAGTGTTTTAAAGACTGGACTGTCAGCCGAAAATCTGGGTCTGAACGTGCGAATTGTGGCCGTCAGCGACTAGTCAATGTTAGGGCAGAACAGAGAATGGCAAGACTGGTACAAGACAACAGAACGACAACAGTCCAGTGTCAGATTCCTCACATCACCTTTCAACATCTCGTGGAATCAGGAGGCGCCCTAACGAAGTCATCTCTTGGAGTCATCTCGGGGCCCAACGAAGTACTCATGGGGTGGTCATAATATTCTGGCGACTCAGTGTATATTTGCAGGACTCCTGCCTTTGTGATATCACATGCCAAAGTTATGAATAGCATTAGGTTAGCTCTGTAACCTAGCTTTGTAACCTTTATTGTTAATATTACACAATGTTTGTTTGTTTTTTATACTTTTAGTGCTGGGGAGTACTGGTTCGAAGACCCTGAAACGTATGAGGATAGTTTTTACAAGCGCAGTTTGGACAATGACAATTATATTTTTACAGCCCCTTATTTCAACAGTAAGTTTTCACTAATTTTGTGGTGTGATGTATACCCTAATGATAGGGGGACTACATTTAAGATTAAGCATGAGATTTAACTAACAATGGATCCCACAGTGTTAATGCTAGGTATTGTAGTTTTACTTTGTGTCTTTATTTTCCAAACGGTCAGTTTCAAAGTTGTCAAAGTGGATACAGCTAATATGAAGAGATTTATTTTTTATGTCAGCATTGTTTCATTTAACCTAGGAATAGCTCTTACATTTGTCCCTTTCTCACATATGATATAACTATGCTCTAATCGTATTCCCTTGACTATCTTCCACTAAAGCAAAAGCTACTTTGATCTGGTATAAATGCTGCAACTTGGTTTAGATATCTATGATGCTTCTTGCATTCTGCTTCTGTCAGTTTCTGTTCTTATATACATTTTATACACTTTGTGCAATATTGTTTGACTAGGAACCGGGCTTGCTTCTTATGAAAATGGTATAATGGTTAGCAAAGCAGTGGAAATAACTATTAATGGTAAACTACTTAAGCCGGCTGGTGAGTACCCTTATTAGTTGATACATCATTAAAATTTGCACTTTTCTTGTAGTAGGGCATGTTAGCATTATCAGATCCTATTATTATTTTAAGGAAAAAAGTCTCTTCATTTATAGTCTGTTCCCTTTCTTACCATAAATTAAAAAAACAGTGCTTCCAGGCTCCCTTATATGGCCTAAAATTCTAGGCTTTTATGCCTGGCCTAAAATATGACATGGTGCAGTCTATTGTTTTCTGTAAGGATGAACCTGTGTGAGACATAAAGGCTTAGGCAAGGTGAACAGTGAAGCACAACGTGGATATGCACTGAACAAATGTGGCTCCCTCATGTAAATAATTGCAAACTAAACATAGAAACAATATTTCTAAAACAGTAAAACCACCTGACAAGGTTATTGACATTTAAAAGACAATGGGGGGAATTTAGCAAAGCAATCAATTACAACAGTTTTGGCCTCTTAGATCATTTTGTTTATGTGCAAATCTGTCTTTCAACATGTGCCCCTGTTTTTACCTGAGCTTGCACTACTTTTCCAACTGCACGTGTTTTGCACCTGTTTTCATCAGAGCTTGCACTACTTTTTCAGTTGCACCTTTTTTGCACCTGTTTTCATCTGCACTTGTCCTGCGGCTGTCTGAAACTGGAGCATCACCTAAGAAAACAATCACAACTTAAGATGCCCCCATGACCACTTCTTCAAGAAGCAACAGTTAAGCTTTTTGCCTGGAGTTACAAGTCTTCTTTCCTGGAGTCTATTTAACCTAATTTATCAACAACATTACATTAGCATCATAAATCTGGTGCAAACATATTCCGTGCAAATTCAAACACTCGCAATTGCTATGATAAATTCCCTCCAATGTCATCTTGCCCTTGTAGAGCTAAGTGATAGTGTTGACGCGAAGCCCCACCACTGAATTCATTACACTTCACTTACCTTAGATACCTTGACACTGCTTCCTCCTTCACAGCTGGTGACAATACCTGGCACTTCTGAGTATGAAGGGGCATGTGAAGACCTCTCTTGGTGTTCAGATCTAGCAACCAGTTGCTAGGAAGGGTTTGAATCTCTTTGGTTTTGCCCTATAAGTGCAAACTGCATTCACTATATTTTTAAAGCAATCACACACAGTAGTAATTTCCAAATCATAGCAACTGCCCATGTACAGCAAAGTATTGTTCTAAAGCAAAGTGTGCAGTGACACGGACACCTTTCCATAAAGCAACACATTAAACGAGAACCTCCTAAATTAACCTATTAATAGTAAAATAAACAGGTTGCTATTGCTGAGCTTCTTCTGAAAATGCTACTTGCTTGGCAATGTCTCCCAGGAGTACTTTCTAAAACACCAAAAGAAGCACGAGTACCTTTTCAAAAAATCACACTGCACCATGTTGCATTGATGTGCACAGGCAATTTTAAGAATAATGTGATGCATTGTCATGCAGTGTGGTGCAACAGTAGACACAGAAAAAGTTGCACTAGTGTGAACGGGGCTTATATCAATAATTGAAATATACATCTAGCAGCTAATGTCTAACAAAGTCTGAAGTTCTGCCTAGCATACTTGTTCTAAGTTTACTGTAACAACCAGGCAACTAATAATTTTCAAAACAAGGTCACAAATAGCAGACCCTTATTTCTCTCATAATAAGTTTCCTATTGTGAATAGGAATTGCGTTTTTTGTGTTAAATAAATTGTAATGAATGCATTTTGCATGTTTCTTGAAGATGCCTATGATATTTATTAAAAAGTGTATTTTATGTATTCTTAGCATAGGCTAGACTTACCTATTACATTGCTGTACTGATATCTTCACTGTGCAGCCTGCTTGACACTGAACATCATCTGGACAAAATCTTCTAAAAAGTACTCGTGTGTGCAGCACAGTCTTTATTTTTTTCAGTTGTAACTTTGTCAATCAGACTGTTGGCTGGCTTTTAACAAAAGCAAATAAAGACTAGAGAGCTCAAGTACAACCCATAAGAATTATGAAGATATCAGGCAAAGACTTGCAGTGTGGGGTAGGCACCACAGTAAAGATCTTCTGACAACAGTTTTGAAGTTAGGTATAATCTGAAATACTGAGGAAGAGAGGAAGAGTCCAATGGCACCAAAAGTGCATTTACCCTCTAAGGCAAATAAGTCTACAGGGCCATTTAATGGTTAGAACAACCTGATTGAATGTATTTTCAGCCTTCCAAATGTAGCTGTTGGCTGCTAAATTTTACAGTCAAAAAAAACTTTTACAACTTTCCTGGAATAGGAATTTGTTTAAGCCTCTTACAAATATACATAGTTACAGGAATTTCACCTATTTGTGTTTTAGTTGTTGGAGTTAAAATAGACTTCGAAAATTGGATGAGGAATTTTACAACTTTTACCACTATAGAATCGGTATGTATATATTTTTATTTTGTGAATCCTACAAGGGCAAATTTGTGGTGAATATCTAAACTATAAACTCTAATATGTGTGCTACGTAGGGATGCACCGATACCAAGTACAGTACTCTGTACAAGTATATGTACAGATACTTTTCGAGCCCCAAGACTAGACTAGAGAAAAATTCAAAAGTTAGGAGGCAGCTGTCATGTGTAAGGAGCATCTCTGCCTGCTGTCAATCAGCAGAGGAGCAACCTTAAGTTCTCCATCAGGTCCACCTCTGTTGATTGACAGCAGGCAGTGGGCGGGTGCAATAGCCAGTCCGTTATTGACTACTGCTATTTAAAAGAGCCAATAACAGGTTGGCTATTGTGGTCAGCTGCTGGAATGGAGAATGATCGCGCGGACAGGAGAGGAGAGCGGACGCCGTGGAGGGATGAGTAGACAGCACGGTGAGGAAGCTCACAGACTGTCGGAGGTTTCTCCTTACAATATTTAACCTAATTAGTTTACTTACAGTTGTGTGAAAAAGTGTTGGCCCCCTTCCTGATTTTTCATTGTTTTGCACGTTTGTCACACTTTAATGTTTCAGATTATCAAACAAATTTAAATATTAGTTAAAGATAACACAAGTAAACACAACATGTAGTTTTTAAAGGAAGGTTTTTATTATTAAGGGAAAACAAAGTCCAAACCCACATGGCCCTGTGTGAAAAAGTGTTTGCCCCTAAACCTAATAACTGGTTGGGCCACCCTTAGCAGCAAGAACTGCAATCAAGCGTTTGCGATAACTTGCAATGAGTGTGTGCGCTGTGCAGGAATTTTGGTCCACTCATTTTTGCAGAATTGTTGTAATTCCGCCACATTGGAAGGTTTTTGAGCATGAACCGCCTTTTTAAGGTCATGCCACAACATCTCAATAGGATTCAGGTCAGGACTTTGACAAGGCCACTCCAAAGTCTTCATTTTGTTTTTCGTCAGCCATTCAGAGGTGGACTTGCTGGTGTGTTTTGGATCATTGTCCTGCTGCAGAACCCAAGTTTGCTTCAGCTTGAGGTCAGTGTTCTGTAAACCTGTCCTCTTAAAGTGGCCATTACAGTGGTGTTGATGGTGTAATATACTGTTGCATGACCAATAAATACCTTCTGATCAGAACAACCCTAAAATTTCTTCCTTCACTGCCTTTTTTTGGAGGGGCAAGTGCCTCTCTCTATTTCATATCGGGATCCAAATACTGTCAAGTACAAGATCAAGAACATCCCGACAAGCATCAAGCATGTCCATCCCTTTTCTGTGCAGAGACAGACATATTCTCTACAAGCTTTACATTAGATTTCTTGACCCCTACCGGTGCATCTTTCAACCTTACTGAGTACACATATTTTATTTTATTTTGATTCTTTCAAAAACTTATATAGTTTCTGATACAAACTACTAGATGTATTTGTTTTCCTTCAGTGATATTGTATCCTCCTTCTTCTTTCTCCTGACTGGAGAATTGTATTATCTCTTAAAACTTTTTTCTCCTCTTGTCCAATTGAGGAGGATCCTCTTTACTTCATCTCCCCTTCACACAGCAGGAAGTGAAAGTAAATCTCTCCGCAGTGAGGGAAAATCCTCTCTTGAACATTTCTCACATTAACAGGTGTTTCAACTTGAAGATTTCCCCTCTGTTCCTGTTCTGGTGACAACTGTAAAAATTCAGATTCCTCATTACAGAAAGGGTGATTCTTCCCAACAGGGAGATAGACAGCAATAAAAACCTGTCAGAATGTATAAACCTTACTTGTTCTATCCAAAACTAAACAAAATGTCTTTAGATATACTTTAAATTGTAACTAAGTCCAAGAACAAAATGTCATGTATTGCAGCTTAACAGTCCTTAGATTTGGTGGCTGCATTAGTTTTCTTTTTTTAGGCTCTTATTTCTTTGTTACCTAGTAATCCTGCCAGCACCACACTTGCTGCAATAGGGTGACAACACTACTGTGCTGTATCTGTGTGGGAGCAAGGTTGTCACCCTAGGACAGGAATTGTGTTAGGACTATGGAATACCCCCTATCACCTCATTTCCATAACACAGAGGATGGTGTTCAGTAGTTTATACAAAAGAACTAGGCAGAGCTGATAACACTGCTTGAGATTTCACTGCGGCAGAGTCCTCAGGAAGTTAGGAACTTAGGTAGGATCAACAGGTGTTTATGCACTTATCAAACAGGGATAACAAAGGTATTTTTTATTTTTTTAACGTTACCTTTTACCAGACCAAAAGGGAGCAAGTAGCAGAGGTTCATTGTTAGTATCTACATAGGGTTTCCATACAGTTTACTACCAACTTACCAGTAGTTTAACACAATATGTAACATGAGGTACATTTTCAGAGCACAACTCTGCAGTACTGTTCCCATATATTAGACAGCAATTGAATTATGAAAGCACAATATTACCAATTGTTTGTATGTGAGTTAAAGGACATCTTCGTAATGGAATTGGGCATTCCCTTTACAGCAGGACACCCTGTTAACAACCTTTAAATCAGTCATTTATTAGTTTAGAAAAGTTAATTGAATTTTGTATTAGCCTACTGTGAGACAATCAGGCCAAAGACCGAACTACATTGTATTATCAGTCTAACACTATTTCCCAAATCATTTTTTGTACAAGTCATTCTGAATTGAGAAATCTGGTTGGATGACCATTGAAACGTCTTCAAGAAAAATACAGCAAGTCCAGTTGCCTTAACTTATTTTTTACAGATATACCATGACCTGAATGAATGAGAACCCTCACAGACAGTCTAACACTGAGAACATGTTCACAGTAGGGGGGGAAAACATAGATGGCCTCATTATTATTATGCTGCTGCTTACTTATTGCTCAGCCATCTAGGGTGAAGTGTGGACTCTAGAGGTGACACAATGTAATTCCTTAATTGTACCAGAGAAAATTGTGTCATCCTTCACTGTATGCTTTTTTTTCCTTTTGTAGTTAGCTATTTGTCAGGAGTTGACCTTTTTATATACTATATATGAAAATAAAGTATAAGGGAATTTGATATATATGAAAATAAAGTATTTAGTATTTGACTATAAATAGTTTGGAAGATTCTGCCAAAAAAACACATTTGATGGTCTTTTTGGAAGCTTTTAGCTCTGGTTAATACAGAAATGCAGACATTGGTTTCATCATGCAACCACATAAAACAAATGCTGATCTTATGAGCAGTGCAATTAATTGCTGCCTTGAAATGAATGAATTGTGACATTTAACATCTTACAACTATCAGTGTATATCACAAACAAATACCATTACTGTACTGTCTTATAATTAGCAATATTCATTGTGTGTGGGTTTGTGCACGTATAACATATAGTTAGTTTCTAATAGTATAACGTTTTAGCCACTATATAAATAAACTAATATTTGATTGTTGTATTGACAGATCATAAGTAACAAATATCAGATCTATTTGCCATATACTTCAACTTCTGTTTATGAAGGGAATGTGTGCTTCACTGTAAAACAATGTGCTGTTGTCTTGAGTTCAGACCGAGTGCTTGATTGTATCCCTCTGAGCTTGTCTTAATGAATACATTTTTCCATTTTCCCTCTGCAGTGCAGGGTTGATGAAGCCTGTAACTGTAAACTGGACAGCTCGGTAAGAGTCCTTAAACTAAAGTAAATTAGGATTCTGCTGCTACAGCTGTGGTTTTCCCAGCTGAAAAGACTGTGCTCACTTATAATTGTGAAGGAAATATGATATATACAGTTTAAGTAAAACGTTTTTAAGAGTATTATTTGTGGAAATGCTTTGCAGTCAAATGGCAGCATCAGTTTATTTTTGTCAGCTCATATATGGTGATGGACATTTATGTAAAATTGGAAAATTAGGGTATTTTTGTAACCTTTACTGTTGACAACTTTCCAGTGAATATTGTTTGTGTCTTCACTTCTCTCATAAATGTGTATGTCACAAAGACCTTGTTAAGTAGTATGACATTTAAAGCAAATCATTGATCAGGATAAACCTTGCTAATAATACCATCAGATGCCAGTATGTGCCTCTATTTTTTTTTAAATATAGCTCCAACCTGTCTTGAGAGCCTAACTCAGGGCATGCTGATGACTTTTTATGAAGATAGTGGAACATACTGGCACCTGTTGTTACTTACCCTCACACCATTAGTTTGGTATACAAAGCTTGTGTTCCAGTTAGGGATGTTCATATACCAAGTACCATACTCGGTACCAGTACAAGTGCATGCACAGATACTTTTCCAGCTCCAGGACTAAACTAGAGAAAAAATCGGAGAAAACTAGGAGGCAGCTGTCATTTTTGAGGCGCACACAGAGCTCCTGGGATTGGTACATCCCCATTTTAATGATTTTTTTAAAATAAATATATATGAGTAATGCAAGTACTGATACATTTTTGATTATTGTCATGTGACAGTTTTTATAAAACAATACAGAACAATGATTTCAGGACAGTGGTGGAGAGCCAGAGCCAGGTCTCAGCTGCAATAGCTGCAACCCTGGTAGTTTTCATGAAAATGCCAAATATCGGCACTGGTATCTATATAGAAGGTCTGTGTGATTAGATCACATGTTGATGGTTTATTATCAACAGGGAGCAGTAGTAGCAATTATGTTTTTTATTATTATTATTATTATCATTTATATTATTATTATTATTATTATTATTATTATTATTATTATTATGAAAACCTAA